CGTAAGCGCGCGACGCGCGGCTTCTAAGCGCCATCAGCGCACCTAACGTCAGAAATCGGAAACTGGACATTTTAGCTGGACATCCTAGAAAACCTAGAAAATATATGACAAATATGTCAACATTTCGACTTTGGATTATTATAACTTTTTTTTACAGCACCTACAGTAAAAACAAGCATACTTTTGTTATGTAATTTGGGTATGCGCTATCGATTGAGCCTATTATCAACTCAATCGGCCCAGCCGTTATTGAGATCCGATAATCTCGGCTCGTCTCAACTTTCGGGCTCGCGTAAAGAGACACGGTCGGTCTTGCGCTCGCGTTGCGCGCTGCGCGTGAACTTGGCGCGAGACACTACCGTGTCTCTTGATTGTCTGGATGTTTGTACAATAAAGTCTTTTATCATTGCTTCTCCGGTATACACAGTAGTTAAAGTAAAGTTTGAAAATAAAAACATTATATGACAAATAGTCAATGTTTTGTTGTGTACAACATTGTATGTGTGAAATTTATTTGAGACTATACAAGATCTCGTTCAAAACTTGTTAATGAATTTAAGATTCGACATTGAAGACAACATGTCAGAAAATTTCAAGACCCCAGCGATGGATCTTCTGAGAAAGTTATTGCAAAAAGAATCACCATTGACATTACCGACAGAGTCACTGAAAGAGTCATCGGAAGAGTCATTGAGAAAGTCACTGAGAGGAACACCGAAAGAGTCACCGAGAGGAACCCCGAGAGAGTCACCGAGAGGAACACCGAGAGAGTCACAGAGAGAAACACCGAGAGAGTCACAGAGAGAAACACCGAGAGAGTCACCGAGAGAGTCACTGACAAATAATGATACATCGAGAAGAGCACTAATAACAAGTCCAAGCATAAAACAGTAAGCTGTCTATTTTTTTCTTTTTATCTTTTAGTCAGTAGAAATATATTGCCACCGTGCAACTGCGATGTTAGAATAATCGCAGATGTCAGTACAGAATCTGAATAAAAAGTTATGTAGAATAAATTTGACAACACTTATCAGATTAATAACTTACGTGGAAGAAAACTTGGAGTTCATAAATGACAAAGATTCGGTAAACCATTATTTGCAAAGCAATGATTTGAAGCTCTGGCCGCTGTTAAGCATCTTGCGTACGAATTTCCTCGTACAAATTGAGCTAGTCATGTGGTATGGAAATAATAACAAACGTAATTAGATATCTGTTTTATTTCTCATTGTCATATTTTTATTTTGACAGTATTGTTACTTATACTTAATATTTTTTAAAACAGCTGTGAATTGGAAAGCGGTTTTAATTGTAACGGAAGATAAGAACGTTTACGGTGTGGGCAGTAGAAACGGTCAGTTCATATTAAACGATACAATTAGTACTCTACAGCCTCAAAAACTAGAAGCTCTGTGTCAACAAAATATCAAAACCATAACAGGTACTGCTGGAAGCTACTTCGTACTGACTGAAGAAGGAAAGGTATATTAAGAAGTTATCGATATATAATATGATGAAACGTGAATATATTGACGTTGTTATAAAAATATTGATTTTCTTTATTGAAGATAAATAATTTCTTTTTATGACGTTTAAATTAGAAAATTTAAGCATTAAAAAGAATTAACAGCACAACATTGCAAACGATTACAGATTTTGTTCTTTGTTTGAATAGAAAGTAAACGTAAAACTTCAAAGTTAGGATATGTATGATATGTTGTGATACTTTTCATACTGTGATAATTTGATAAAGATCGGGACAACTAAGATGCATGTTTTATATATTTATCTTTACGATATCATAGATATATGTAATTTTAATTATTAGCATATCTAATATTTTGCAATAAATACACAAGAAAATCTTTATATTTTTTATATTCACATTTTTATATTTCAATTTAGACTATTTCATAGAATTTGCAGAAATTTCTATAAGCTTACAAAATTAAATAGCATTTTGCACGCAGAATAATGCAAGCCAAATATTCCTAACTTTTTCATTTTTATACTCGATTTTTGTAATATCGTATAAAAAAAGTGAAATAACCGAAATCTTTGACAATCTATTTTCTTTTTTAGGTATATTCCTGGGGTGACAATAAATTTAACACGTTGGGATATGATACATCCCGTCTACCCCCCGATACATTCGATGAAATGGTTAATATAAATAATTCATGGTCAATAACAGTCAATTACCCTCTTGAAGTGACTGCATTATCAGGCGAACGCGTAGTGGACATTAAATGCGGTTATTATCATGTTCTCGTGCTCACCGACGATAAAAAGGTAAAGTTGAGATATAACAATGATAATGGAGATCGTTGTGAGTTATGCAGTTTTTTTAAATTTAGGTGTATAGTTGGGGAAGAAATAATAGAGGACAAGTTGGTCATGCTGTTGTTGAAACGGTTCCAATACCGACGGAAGTCATAATTGAGGATGAGTGGGGTAAAAAGGACATTCAAAGCATTTCTTGCGGCCTTGTTTTTAATATGGCTGTTACTTGCGACGGCGAACTTTACGGTTGGGGCGAAAATACGTATGGTCAGCTTGGACTTGGAATTAATGGCGCCATGATACATTTGAAACCGATGAAAATCATGATAGATGTTCCAATAGGTAATTTATTTTACTATTCAGTACTTACGAATTTGAAAACTAAAAATAATATTTAAAAGAGAGTGATTTAAGTTTTACATAAAAAACAAGTTAGAAACTGTTTTGTGATATTTAGTTACATAATAATTGGTTCAATTAGCTTTGAGATAATGAGATCACGATATGTGAAGTAATTTAGCTTGATGATTTTAATTAGAGTAATAATATTTAATAGCTAAAAAAAAGAATTTCTGATCAATCTTAGAAACAAATTTCTGAATTTCTCATTTCAAAAGTATCTTGCGCATGTATTCTACATTATATCCGGATACTGATATCTTTTATTAATATGTAACTAATTATAAATGAATAATTCTAATTTTGATTTTATTTTTGTTACGTAAATGTTTGTTTTTTTTTCGTACAAGATAAATGAGAAAAAATTACTTTGATAGGAACAATTATATTTTCAATAATGATTTGAATGTCCGATTATTGTGATATTTATTTTATTTAAGACTTGCCGATGCAAGTTATTTCACTGAGCAATCGTGGTGTTTCAGCGAAAGTAGAATGCGGAACTGATCACACGTTGGCGCTTTCTCGGGAAGGTTTGCTCTATGTCTGGGGTAAAAATGACCATGGGCAATTGGGCATCGGGAACTGTGTAAACTATGTATTTTATCCCATTCCGGTAATTGCTTTATCTTTATGTAATAATAATAGGAACGAAAGATGCATATAATGCAATAATCGAAGCGTTTGATGATCGACAGATAGACACAAGAGAAATGGGGAAGATAACGAATATCGCCGCTCGATTCGATTGCTCGAGAAGTCTGGCAATTAATAAAGACGAACGCATCTACTTTTGGGGTGCATATAAAGGCAAACATTATTTGAACCCATCTGATGTTAACCTTAACAACATAGAAGTCGCGTTCATAGGTTCCAGAAGTTTTATGAAGATATACTGTCCTTGCACAAACCTGATCAAACTGGAGAAACTGTCATATGTCATGTCCCCGGAATATTTGGAAACTGCATTCAACAATTCCGTATGTCGTTTTCTTTATTTTGTATTTTTAATATTAATAGAGAGATGTATAATGAATGAGATTTACATACCCCGCATTTCTGGGGCAATTTTGAACAGGATTCTATACAAAATGCATCCTTTGTGATACATTAATTATAACAATGTACTCTTCAAATAGCTCTCAGTAATATCTTTTTTGTGGCCAGTTATTATAAAAAAAAGATAGAGAGTGTGCAAATACTTTTCTTTACTATTGCAGAGGCAACGAGAGATAAGAAACAGAATATATAGCTGAAACCTAAATAAAGCTGATAATATTCTTTCGTAGCTAAAATTATATTACATAATCAGTAAACATACACATAATTATTCTTATCAGCATAAATTAATATACATATATGTATATACAGTAGTCGAACATAAAATTATTTTTCTTCACTTGAAAGATAAAAATTCATTTCCAGTGCTCGTACTCGGCGAGAGAGAAGTCAGTCTTATCAGACGCTTTATCAGATTTAGCTTATTCGAATTCTGCTGAAAACTTGCTACTGATAAAATTCACGCAACAATTACTAGAGAATAAAAAATTCTTTTTATAGTGTGTTAATCGATTTCGAACGGTGATTTTATAATCCGAAACTACTATATGTACATAATTAATAATATTTGTATGTGTTGGATTTGTTATTTTTTGCGACAAAATCTGTTTTAAGATAAATTATTACTTTAAATTTTGCTAAAAAATAAAAAAAAACATTTGTAATAAATATTGTTTGTGATCTGCATCATATATATTTTGTTTTTTATTTCTAATAATTCTCATCTTTTATTTATACAGGCATCCGCCGATATTGAATTAATTGTGGATCGACAATCTTTGTACATTCATAAGATTGTTATAATGCTTCGCTGTAAGGAAATGTATGCACAATTTTTCCCGTATGACACAAACAAGTAAGCATTCACGACAGAAACAATATTGTTCTTATTATGAATGGTTTGAACTTATTTCATGTTGTATGTCACCGTGTTTTCAACAGTGTCATCATGCGAGATGATTTCTCTGCTGCTTCATATAAATCCTTCTTAAAATATTTATACACTGGTGTAATTGACCCATCTTATGAAAATCCATTAGGTAAGCTCGAGTAAAGTATATTGTCTGATTGTATCATAATTACTTAAATTATGACTAAAGCATCATTTTATTACAGAGCTGTACGAGTTAGCTACTTTTTACCAACATCTAATCTTTAGGGAAAATTGTATGGAAATAATACACAAAAGGATTAACATATCAAATGTTATGCATTTTTATGGAGAGGCGATATCACTGGAAATAAAGGTAATTTTTTTCAATATCACTTTTAAACCTTCGCATTCTATGATAAATTCAACATTCTCTTTGTCGATTCTATAATAAAATAAAAAATTTTCGATTTTAAAAAACAAAAAAAAACATCGTATTTTATTATGATGCATAAATATGTTTTCAAGTTTTAGTAACATTTTTATATTTTACAATTTAATAAAGTATTAAACATCACAATTTAATAAAGTATTAAACACATATTTCTAGATGTTGCAACATTTTATATTTTATAGTTTGGTTAATTATTTAAGTATAGTTCGATATTTGAACTGCTGGAATAAAATGTAATATGGGGTACATGCTTGACTGTTGATTTATAAGGATTAATGCTATTGTTAATTGTAATATACTCATACATGTTTATTTATATGCTCGTCAAATATCACGTAATTTTGCAGTCGCTGGAGCAGTTCTGCTTCGAGTATGCCATGGAGAATCTGTCGGCTGTGGTGAGGACAGAAGCTTTTGCTAAATTAGCAGAAAAGGTGCGATTGGATTTTATAATTGAAGCAGCTGATGCTCTGACTTTGATATGTTAATGAAGTCTCGAAAACGAAGTTCTCTTCGTCATTTATCGGTTTGTCAGTTCTCTTCATTATTTATTTAATTATGCAACTAAGTTTTAGAGCAAATAAAAAAGTCAGGATATTAGGGATTTGAGAGACAAAAATATATTATTCGAAATTATATATAAATATATATAAATTATATATAAATATATATAAAATTATATATAAATTCGATTAATTAGTATCAAACGACAAAGAAACAATTCAAAAGAACAATTACATGACATGCACGACAACAATTAACGATAGCAAAGAGAAATAAAAAGTCATGCATTTAACTTTGTATGACGTCTGTGTCGCGTTTATGTTATGTCCAAACTACTTGAATATGCTTTCTGCGTTTTATGCATGTAAAGAGAAGTGTATTAATTAATAGATTCGCGTTTATTTTATATATCATAATATATTATGATAATATATACAATTTGTACAAATAAATTTTAATCCTGAGTTTTTGCGATTATTTTGCGATTAGAATTCATATGCGACGACAAACTTCTTCGAGGTGACCAAGGATTAAAAATTTATCGATCTACCTTCGTATTATACGTACTCTCGCATATGCGCAAATTATATCCCTCATCCGATTGTGAGAGAAATCCGAAAATGACTTGCGTTTTTATGTATCTAAATTTGTTATCATTTTCTTAATAATATAAACGTACACGGAGAAAATTTTATATAAAAAATTATTATGTACGGCCATAACCACGGACTATAAAGTCGCAGACTGAAAATTTTTACTTTATTTCATATGAAAAACATAGTAAAAATTTTTATAATTTCTTTCCTATAAAATTTTTTCCGTGTACAAAATTGAACTTACCGGCACGATGCGCAGCAGCGGAGTTTTTGTTCCGTTGATCTGTAAAGTTGATCTGTAAAACACAAAAGAACATTCTGATTAGCAAACTTTAAATTAATTTGTATTAAAAATATAATTGCGCACATTGAACCTTTTATTTGTCTTTTAAACAACTATGTTATTTCCAATATTTTACAATCAATAAATAATAAATGAACGATAAATACCTCAAAGTTGCTCCACCGATGCCCGATACACCTCCTGAGCCTGCTCATCCTCTCAGTATAAGAGAACACAATTCACTCGTGATTCACTCGTGGTTCACTCGCGAAAATCTGATTAATTATTATTGCGCGACATTTTATACGACACTTTCGCAATGCGTACTTTATTATATAAGAAGACAAATAATACTCGAATAGATTATCGCACGGATATGCACGGACTTTCTATAGAAAATGATAGAATGATATTTATAAAAAGTAATTATCTCACCGGGGTGATTTTGAGGTTAATTGTAAAGTAGTAAAAAGAGTGTAGTATGGAAGTTGTTTGGATGATTAAGATAATAAAAATAACACACCGATACACCCTGATGTACGATTTACTCCGTACAACTATCACTTGCGAAAAAGACAACAGGATAATAGCAAAAATAAGGTCCCGCACAGATTTTGATTTGGAAGAATTCGTAGAATGTACGCGCCGACACACAGTGCAAGAGAGAAAGAGTGAGAAAGAGAAAGAGAGGATATAATGCCCTAACTAGACCGGAGAATGATCCTACTTGTGGCTCATTCGAGTGTATAGTTTGACAGACCGACCGAATCGATTTAATTGGATAAAAAATTATTTGATATGGTTAATACGATTGGAAGTCAACTTTAATATAATTTTAACCTGTCAAATGCACTCAGATAAGCCACAAGTAGGATCATCCTCCGGTCTAGTTAGGGCATAAGGCCTACGTGATGCGCGACGACAACACAACCCCATCATACGGCTTAGTCTCGAAACTTGTATTCTTTCTCTCTCTCTCTCTCTCTCTCTCTCTCATTCACACGCTACATTCAGCGTACATTTCAGCACTTTTATTTCACGTATTCTTTCAAACCTAAATTTGCGCGATCTTGTTTTTGGTATTATTCTGTTATCTTTCGCAAGGCGATACTCGTATAGGGCGGATCATTTATCGGAGCATATCGGTACGTTATTTCTATCATTTCAACCATTCTAACAAGTTCCATACTACACCTTTATCTCTCTCATTATAATTAACCTCCGAAATCACTCTACCTCGATAAAATTATTTCTTATAAATATCCTTCGTTGTTTTCTGCAGAATGCCGAACGTATCCGCGTGATATCCGAGTATTATCTTTGTTCTAATGTAGTCGAGACGCGTCGGGAATGTACATCGATTAAATCGCGTATTTCGAAAGATTTATTTCATCGAAATTCATTGCGCGGGCAACAGTGTTTACGCAAAGCGACATTTTGTATTTTGTAACATTTATAAAAATAGTAAATTATTCATCGAAATTAAAAGTTTGAACGCAAAAAGAATATTTTGTAATGTGCAAAATATCATATTAGGAATTTCGTGCCGACTCACGGCGTGGGCAGGTTTGGTGGGGTTGTTTACATACACTCTGTAGCCTACGTGCTCTATGTCCTCTCTCCCTCACTCCCACTTTCTTTCTCGCACGCGCTATCGGCACACATTCTTTTCCCCTACTCCTAAATCACACTTCGACCTTCGATTCTTCAACACGACTTTAAATGAATCCTTGCTCCTGGAATATTCGCGCGGCGGTCCTTAAGCGAGGCAGACGTATCGGCGCGTTATCCCCCCCTATCTCCAATCCTTATCACTTCTCACAGTTTTTTTACCCCCCCTCCTCCTTCTTCTATCGTTACCTGTTGCGTACGCGGCATCGTGTCGAACGCGTATTCCGTGCGATGAGCGATATTCGAGTTTAACTTTTGTCTTAATATGACAAAATATGCGTCGGGAATGTCGGCTAAAATATCGTGTGACTATTGTAATATCGTTCCGCCGTAATTTTGCAGTAGTATAAAACACGTGTCGGGAGTGCTGTTTAAAGTGCCGTGCGATTTTCGTATTCGCGAACGTGTGTGAATACTTTGAAGACCACTGAGAGGAGGAGGAGGCTCAGGAGGAGCATCAGGCGCCGGCGGAGCAACGCTTAGGTAATTATTCATTTATTTGTTATTCGCAAAATATTGCATATAAAATATTATATAATGTAGCGCATATAAAATATTTAAAATACTTTAAATATTTAGTAAAATATTTATAATAGTAAATTAATATTCACCATTCTTAGAAATTTTTTACACATTATTATTTCAACTAATTAAACTTTTTTTGTATTCAAAAAATATATTTTTGAAAATTTTAATTCTTTAGACGTGTGCATAAATAAACGAATATAAAATTCAATGTGCGCAGTAATTATTTTATAAATATTAATTATTTCAAACACTAATCTGCATTTATTTTTTTATTTTACAGATCAACTTTGTACGCGTAATCGGTGCTACAAAATATATTCGTTCCGTCGTATAGTATAACAAAATGCGTGTCGGGAGTGCCGTTAATGCCGGGAGTTATAGCGAATCTATAGATGAACGCATTTTTGCTGTATGACAAATATTGGGACATGATTTTTTTTTACTGTGGGCTTGGCTCGGGGGAGGGAAAGATCGGTTTCAATCATGAAATCTCGACTACAAAAAGGCATCTTTGGTGTCAGACTTCACGGTCAGACCTAACGAAAGCTAGCCCATGAGACTACCGGAGTTAGTCAATGGCACCGATTGCTGGTCAAATGCCTTGTATCTAGTCAGTTGATTGCATGACTAATTGCACTTCATCTTCTTCGAGCTTATCTTTGCCCTCTGTTTTGAGAGAATCGTGCCCCAATTGGTAAATGTGGTCGTCTGAAACGCGGACGGAATTCGCGCGTAACGTCACAGCTTTACATACACAATTCGGTTCGATTCGCCTGTGACGTCGGGAGTGCCGTTTTAAGTATCGCGCGATTTTCGTATTCAGGTACGCATGCGAGCAATGCATGCGCCGCGAACGCGTGTGATTCAATGTGAGTGCTTCGAAGGACCACTGAGAGGAGGAGGAGGCTCAGGAGGAGCATCGGGCGCCGGTGGAGCAACTTTAAAGTAAGTAATTATTTGTTATTTATTATTTGCAAAATGCGCACAAAATATTAGAAATATTTAATGAAATATTTGTAATATTTAATATTCATATTTAATTATTAGAAATTTTTGATATAATTAATCTTCTTTCAATAAATATTTTATTAGATATTTGCTTAGATAAATAAGTTAAAAAGTTGAATGTGCGCAATTATTATTTTACAAATATTAATCATTTTGAATGCAGCTTTAATCGATTTACTTTTCTGTGTTACAGATCAACTTTGCAGATCAACAGAACAACAACTCCGCTGCTGCGCATCGACCGGTGAGTCAGTCCAATTTGTCTTATTAAAATAGTGGATCGAACAATGGTACAATAAATATACTTTTAAGACATTTTGCAGACTTTGCAGTATAATTTTTCATATTATTATTCATATTATTCAACATATAAATTTGAACACGGACTTGTATCGGCCTAATAGTCTTTTGAATTAATATTGTTAATGTGTTAAAATTCAGAGGCTTATTATAAATAGATCTATAATAAGTAGAACGATAGCAGAATATTAAAAATATAATCATATATAAGAATATTTTACATAAAATTATAAGAAATAAAACTATTTCTTCGATCCATTATTTTTAAATAGAGAGGCTAGGACTTATATTAGTTGCTCGTAATTTAACCCTGGAATATGTGCACGTTATGATGCACATACAAAATTATAAATTAAAGCGTACATTGCACGCCAAGAAGGCTATACGTACGCCAAATTTAATATGAAGATCATGAAAAAATATTAATTTTAATATGATACATATATTTTTATTTATTTGTATAATAGATTAACCATTTATCTTTAATTCATGAAATTTTCTAGTTTATTGCATATTTAAATTCTTTTATAATAATGTACAATAAAGTACTAATTTTACACAAGATTTTCTTTAAGTTTTTATTTATAATTTTTTATGGTATTCATATTACATGTATGTACCCACTTTTTCTTATTTATTTATTTATAGATCAGACCCGAATATATTGGGTTAGTAAGTCGTAAAGTTTGTAGATCTTTTTTAGGACAAAATTAAAAACAATTGTTATATGTTTATATGTCGATTTTTATTCACTAATGTATGCTTTGTGGTTAGAGATGACTCAAAGTTGCCGAAAACAACGATACATACATTGTTGAATAAAAATGGACCTAAACATATAAAAATTGCTTTTAATTTTGTAATAAAAATTGCTACGAACTCTTCGAATATCTCAATATATTTAGATTAACTTGAATCATATTTAATTTTTATATACTATTTAATTTTTTTATATAATTTTTTTATATAATTATTTTTATAATATTGAATTTTATTCGTGTGTTTATTTAAATTTTTTTCATATTTTTTTATGTATGAGGAAATAACAAAAAAAGAGAAAAATAATATAATAATAATCTTAAATAAAATTTTATTTTAATTTTTTTATTTATATATTTTGCTATATATATTTTTATATGAGAAAATAAATGACAACAAATTTGTTCCCTTCTTTCTTTTCCTTCAACACGGTAAGTGATTTGCATTTTTATATCCAGGGTTAAATTTTGTTAAAATTGGCGTAGAAAAGCAAGTATTTCAGAGAAATTCAAAATACATATGTGTGTATTGCAAATATGTTAATTAAATTAAAAATAAAAAGCATGTTTTACAAAAAACATAATTTAAAAATTAACATTATATTTGAAATAATTTATTTGATAAATAATGCATTTACAGTTAACCATTACTAAATATAGGTATATGATTTTTTGCTATACGCCAATTTCCTCGTAATCTTTCCTAGCTTATCTATGCATCCGTGGCCCCATGGCGTAATTGATTCCATGGTTCAGCACGGTCATTCGAAATTCGTGGTCCGGTCAAGCACGGATCTCGAAACAACGTTGATACGATCGATCATTGAATAATGGTTAGATATCAACATCAATTTCGGACGCAACTAGCGGAAACTGAGCTGAGCTCTGCGCTAGCGTCTTGCAAAAAACTCCCTCTCGAATTTCAAATGCAAATAGCGGTAACTGAGCTGAGCTTTGCGCTAAGCATCTCGCGAAAAATTCCCAAACGGTTGCGTAAAAAACTTCCAAATGGTTTCGCGAAATATTCAATCTCCTTAAATCTTATCGGTTTACGATTTTTTACGAACTTTTAGGCATACAATTTTTTATTAGGTAGGTTTTTCTGTTAGGTAGAATTTTTATTAGGTAGGATTTTCTATTTAGAGTCGTCGGGTAGGTAGGATTAAAAAATTTTTTATTACTTCTTATTTTTTTTTTATTTTTTGCTGTCGATAAACTTTGAAACTTCTGCCTTGGCAGTTAGTTTATTGCAGTTTATTGATGACAAAAATAAAACTTTGGGTAGGTAAACAGCAAGATTCTTTTCCGCGAGAGCGGAAGAAGTTTCTTACATATCAAAATTTTTAAACTTTTTACCACTTCTATATTTTTTTAATTCTTTGCTATCGATAAACTTTGAAACTTCTACCTCAATAGTTAGTTTGCAGTTTATTGATGACAAAGATAATGACAAAACTTCGGGTGGGCAAACAAGATTCTCTTTTGAGGAAAAGAAATTTCTTGTATATAAGAAACATTGGCTTAAAAGTTTTTTTTCAAATTTTAATTGTTAAGAGAAAATGTAATAAGATAAATGTCTTAGTGGTTAGATCTCCAACTATATAAAAAAGACAATTTTTAAATAGTTATAAATATAACAGCCAGAAGTTGGTACATATAAATATTCTATATTTTTTTGCAAATATTTAATTTTAATAATTGTCGTTCATTAATTATAAATTTAGTTTTATTTTTGTTAGATAAACTTCAATCTTTACTCATTTTTTATTTATTATATAATCAGAAAGATGAGAAAAATATTATCTTGATAGAAAAAAAGTTATATATTTAATAATGATTAACTCTTAATTGTTCAGCTTCTGGGACATTTAGCTTACATGCACTAAATTTGTCAAAATATTGTATAATATATATTTTATTGTTTATTTATTGTATTGTATATTTATTGTATTTATAATAATATATTTATAATAATATATTATATATTGTATATATTGTAATATTTATTGCATTATAATATATTGTATTATGTAAATATTATGTATTTTATATTTTTACTATTTGGCATTTGATTTTATTAAAACACTTTTGCGACAAATAATGCGTTTTATTTGGCAACTTTCTCGGAAAAACATGCATTTTTATGGCACCATAATAAAAAACACATTTTTTTCTTGTATTGCAATATTAAACTGTAGAGACCTATTGATCTTTTTGGATAAACTTTTCACATAATAATTGGTTTACATGTTGCAACTGATTTCTCGCACGAACTTGGTTTTTCGTGGTAGAAGAAGTTTGTAAAGACGTACTATTGCAATTGTTACTCTTTGAATTTTTGCAACACAGACCGCTGTTCTCGTAACCGAATTGTTTTAACAACAGCTGCATAATCCTCTTCCTGCATACAAATACAACGAAAATGATGAAACCTTGTAGGGCACATGTCATGACCACTAAAAACCAGATAAAGACTGGTAGTTGATCGACAAAATTCCGTGCCACTGTTTCCATTGTCCATTTTATGCTTGTAGTTGTATCCATTAGAATAAATAATTTCAAATACATGATAAACCTATAAACAAATATATTAATTTTTAAATCTTTTGTAGTTATAAATGTTTTTATTATTAAGAATTATTATAGATAAAATGGTATCTGTTAAGTTTAAGACCTTTGCTTATTGTTATCGTGACATTTGCTCTCCAAGCTTTTTAGATAACGGTCAGTGTCTTTCTTGGTATACATGATTTTTAATGTTGTAAAAATGAAGAAGCAGATGTTGCAGATAATAATAATTCCTACGGGAATGTAAAAGTATGCAAACTTTGCTTCCTCCGCTGAAACAGAAAATAAAGTTCTTACATTATATGTTTTGTAAATGAATACCATGTTATGTCATTAAATTTCTTATTCTGCGATTCCTCTCAAATTTATTTTATAAAAAAATGTAAAAATTTTGCTGCTTTCCTATAATCAAATTACGAATTTCATATACAAATGTCATTTATTACCGATTCCCTGTTGCTTGACGCAGATTTTTGGTTGAATTAAGTTCTTAGGTATATTGGAAGCAAAATTGATAGTGGTCAAGATGATAGCGTAAATACCAGTGGTACCCCACGCATAAATCGAACATATCACGAGCATTTTCATCTTTCGTCGTTTTATGTTGCCTTGTATCGAATGAAATCTCCTGTAAAATGTTACTTATAAATACATAACCAGTGGAGTTGAAAAGAGCGAGAGAGTAATAGCATTGTAAATTTTAATTAAAACAATTATTGACTTAAGTAAAAATTTTTTTATTGTGAGTTGCACTTGTGTTACTTTTAGTTTGGCATGTACAGCTAGAGAGCAGAAGCTTTACTTTTCAAGTATATTATGCTATCTAAGACAAATTATCAGAATATAATAAATTATATATAAAAATAATTTGCTAATTTTTTGCTTTAAAAAGTAATTTTTTTACTTCAACTATTAAAAAGTTAAGCTAGATAGCTTAAGATTAAGCTATCAAAGTTATTGTAAAAATAGTGTATATGTAAGTCAAAGCAAAAGATTCATAATACTAAAAGTTTTTGTTATTTTTTTTTACTACATTTTACTTCCAAAAATATTTTTTTTGTTCCAACTTTTTAAAAATACCAAGAACAAAATGTGCCGTTCAAGAGTAAAGTGCATTAAAGAAATTAGTTGCTTGCAATAATCCCAATGTGAACTTCCGAATTAAATAAAATTAAAAAAAGAAATTGTATGAGATATTTAATCGCTTACCTAAATGTCCATAAAATATCGAAGCATATCACATTTTGCCACAAGAAACTTGCTACCATAAAGACATTGTATATAAAGGCTGCAACAGTCAAAGAAGTAGTTTTAGCGCGCATTATAATACTGATGAAACTTATAATTATCATATTGATCCATAGAAAAACAAGTTTTGCTATCTTTTTGCAATTCAACACAAGTGTATATATTTAATAATACGTTAATATTATTAAGTGATTAATGAGATATATACAATTTTTTCAATTTCGGAACAAATATTTTACTACACAAATGTTGATTCGTTACACATGTATGTAGATCTAAGATTTAAATATTATATATATATCTACTATTTATTACTGTACTTTTAAAAATGTAATAATTTTCTGATTGTCAAATTATCATTCAAATTATGTATCATCAATTAAAATAATGTAATCAATTATATAGAAAAATTGACGCGTGTATTTATTTAGCTGATGTAAGAAATATATACGCTGCATTACTATATTGTTGCGCAAGCTGTACTTAGTGTAACACAGGCAAAATGCTCCGCTTCATTCATCGTAGGATGGAAAGAAGGAGAGAAATAAATGCTCGTGTATGCGAGAAACAACGAGCTGACGTATGAACGCAATGCGTATCCGTGCATGTTTCGAAGTTCCGGACATATGGAATACACGATGAATATTATCAGCAAACACAGCCAAGATGTTAAGAGAGCTACTCTTATAAATATTTTATATGGCAATTTGGTTAACACCATTTTGATGTTGCCAATAGTTTTGTTATCTTGACATGTTATCTTGACATCCAAGCACTTAGTCATCAACAAAATAAATTTATCTTGACGTGATTGGTAGTCATCATCAAAGAGCATTGTATTCTGGTTATTTGTGTAATTGTCAAACGGGAATTCACTTTCTTTGCATGAATCGATTATCTGTTGAAACACTTTATTCAACGATCTAGACCCGTTGACGTCCTGAAAGGAAAAATTATTCTTCCCAAAAATACAATTGTCCTGAATCAAGCGACAGCAGAATTGAATACAGATATTATCAGGTTCCATCAGTATATTATTATTTGTTTGATAATTTTTTATAGAATGTGAATTAAGTTTATATTGCACTGAATTATTATTCTCTTGATTACACCAAGTAAAGAACTCGTACTGTATTGTCTCATCATTTTGGTTTCTTATGTCATTTGCACGAGGTTCGTATTGCACTGTTGAATTGTCATTCTGTTTATCGCCATTCACAAAATTTTGCCACGATTCTTTTCCCAAAGATGGAACAACAAGCAGAAGCACGCAGGACCAAAATATAAAACGTCGAACACACATTGTCGAACTTCTGACGCGTCGAATTTAGTAAAATTACTTGATCTTTTTTTATTATCAAATGTCCAATAATTGTTGTAATATCGTTAACTGTAAAAATAGAATTCACGTGATAACTTCAATCTGCAGTGATTTTGCCGGTAACTGTTTCATCTGAAAAGCGAAGGATAAAGTCACTTTAGCAAGTACGTAAGAGCATATCTGAATAATAAATGGCAAATAGGTGCCAAAAACTGTTTGCTAAAAAGATACCGCGATAAAACAGATTTCTCTCTTCTAAAAATGTTATTAATAAACCTTATTAAATAAAAGCCGACACTATATTTGGTTTAACGACTTCTTTCCTCGATTGGTAGAAGAGCGCGCGAAGTGTGTATCCACACGAATGGAAGATAACTGAATTACAAGTGACTGTCGGCATTAGAAAGACGGTCTATCCACTTGCTGCAGAACTATGTGTACAGAGTGGTCTGCAAAAATATTGGCGATAAACTTTTAAAGATAATATGTTTTATCAAAATACGGATCATGTAAATTTAGATATTTCGGTGTGTGGATATTTTCAATAAAAAGCGATCATATTTTCAAGAACAAAAATTCAGAATGGATTTATTGTACTGGACACACAAATTTATTTGCATTTTTATCACACCTTATGTATTACAATGCCTGTCAGTAGAAAAGCAGACAATCAAATGTTATGTAAATTAGTTTGCAATCGCCGTCCGTATCTTGGAATTCCGTTTCCTCGTATTTTAAAGGATACAATGGTAAATAATGTCAAGTAATAAATTTCAAGTAGATTGTTAGAATAAAGTGTGCGGAAATACACAATAATAAAAAAAGAAAGGAAAGAATAAAACGCACATTAATAGTGTATAAACATATGCGGCGATCATCTTGATTTATGCTTTCTTATAACGAACAGAATCCTCTATAAAACGCGACTTAGCCAGTAAGTAAGAAAAAGGTAATGGCAAGTTGGCTAATAATAACACTAATAATTATTACTAATAATTATTATTACTAATAATTATTATTACTAATAATTATATTATATAGACAGCAAAATTTAACATAATATGTGAAACGATAAAAGTGATACACTCTTTATGTAATCGTTCCTGTTAAGGAAAATGCTGAGACAACAGACGAGAGATTTTAGAGAACCGTCGATATGAATTATTTTTAGAAATTAAATACTCTAAATAAAAACGAATAGTGTTAAACAGGTATTGTACATTAGTAAAGGAAATTGATCATAAATAAACAAGTCGTAAGTATTAATTAAAAATTGTAAGTATTTATTACGTCACTTTTGTTTTCCGTGACCTGTATGATAATAATGAGTATCCTTGATCAAGCTTAAGTTCCGGGAAACAAGTTTTCTTGAAAATCTGGTTTCATGAGCGCAGTACTGAAGACAATCGTCTGTGATATCACGTGTTTTACAAATGTTAAAGATTATTCATTAGCTGATACTTGATTATCTGATTTTTTAATCGCGTATTGAAAAAGTAGGCAGTTTGAAGATGCATCGCAGAAGATACATATATACATATATTGTCGAAACGAATGATAATCGGATGGATTATATACAGTTTCATTATAAATTTTAACGACACATAATAGTAGCTTTATAAAAAAGAAATAGCATTTTGAGGATTAGTTTTTTAACTCACATAATAGATTATATGATTAATTAATTAAATGATTGTCTTGAAACACAAATTTTACAGTGATGGTCAGTAAAACAAAACTTATAAGATAGTCAATGTAATTATTGTTGAGTATTTTTATTTGATTTTTCGATAAGAAAATAAGTTTAACAGTTGAACACATTTATTGCACATAATACAAATTTCACTGATAGCAAATAAATTACGATAGATAAGAGTTTTTTGTACTATTTCTCGCAACCGACGAATCGCAGGAGAAGAAGAAGAGGAACAGCTTCGCATACTAAATAAGCACGCTATCGATCTGTGATCGTACCGATAAAACTAGTTCACTTTCACAAATGAAGGATTATTTTCTCTTTCAATATCAATATAGATAAGTGACATAATGAACATATCTAATTATTATGAAAAAAAAAATTTACAAATTGATGTAACAGCGGACCTTTTGACAAATGAGTTTAAACAGACTCTGTTAGTTTGCAATAGTAATAGTCATGGCAACTGCTATTCAACATGGCTTGCGTTCTTTTTTAATCATGCATTTCATTATCGGTTTAGGTGTTTATCTCATACAGCAATCAAAGTCAAAGATTGGAAGAATTGTGCGTTTAAGTGTTTTATATTCATTGATAATCTAGTTTAGTTATGGTTATCTTTTTTACTATACAATAACTTTCTTTACACCAAGAGTACTATTTTTGACCATCATTACTAAAGTTGTCCAGTGTATTAACATCTTTATGACATTCACGTCCGTGATTATAAATTTCTATTGTGAAGAGGTACAGTTACGTATTATTATATTATGTAATATGCATGTATATGTATATATGTATGCGTTATATGTATATAAAAAAACTATTTTACGCTTATATCAATGTAACATCTCAACGAATTTATATTCAATTTAAGTTATTTATAAAATTAAAAATTTTTTTAGTCTAAACAATGAACTTCTTAATCATTATCATTTAATACATATTTATATTATTATAGAAACACAATCGATTATTTTAGAAATTTCAAATATGTATGAAAAAAAAATATATTATTAATAATATTTACATTACATTTATACTATTTTACTTCTATATTGTATCATACGTAGCATGAATTATAAAAATCCAATTTTTGTATTTATCTATTTTAATTTTATATCATATTTTGTACTATGAATTATAGAACTATACGAAATTTAAGATTATGTATTATTATAATTATTACTATCTTTTTTTATTTTATATTATGCTATATTTCTTATTAAAATTTTTTATTTGTTAATAATACGTATTAATAATATATTGCTTTTATAAGCGTTAATATTAATAGGTACCTTTTTTCCAGTTTTGCACGACAATTGTAACATTTGTGATCATTACGATACTGATAAATATATACATTAATTTAAAATATTTTACAACTTAAAAGGTAATAATGAAAATAATGGCTCACTAAACTAGCATTGCAACAATGTACAATATTATTATTAAACAAATATTATTAAACATATTATTTATTTTATATATACATTGATAAGAACAAAATTGAATGTTTACTTCAAAAATATGCACAAAATAGATTAACATCAATTTAATAATTTGTAGCATTCAGAATTTAATAATAAATTATCTCTTTCGCCAATAAATTATCACAAAATGCATCGATTATTTTAATATAAGTGCTGTAATATAAATAATTATTAACATCATAAAACAAAAAAGTATCTAGAAATCGATACAATTATGCTGCTTTCAACAAATGAGTTTCACTCAACAGACATTCAGTATCCGTTTACAATAGTAATAGTCATGGCGTCTACCATTCAAGAGGTTTTGCGTCCAATTTTTGTTACGTGCTTCGTAATAGGTATAGGTGTTTATCCCATAAAACAACTAAAGCCAAAAGTTAAAAAAATTATATACTTGAGTATTCTATATTCTTTAACTATCTGGTTTGTTTATGGATACTTCCTTTATTATACAATAACAATGTTTACATTGAAAGATTTATATCAATCCGTTATTGGTATAATTATATTAATAATTAACATTGTTATCATAATTACGTCCGTAATTATGAGTTTTTATTATCAAAAGGTATTATCACGTTTTTAATATATTTACTAGGTGTACAATATATTTAAAAAATATGATGTGATGTGATGCATGTGTGTGTAATATGCGTAAATTATTGTGATTTTAGACAACAATTTTCAATATAAAATAACAGTTCAATATGACATTAAATATTTTAATTTTTACATAAATATACATATTTTATGTCGTAGAAATATAATACATTTTGTGTTATTGCTGGATATTTTGTTAGAGATTGCAGATGTGCATAATGAAGTTTACTGCTGTGGACGATACTTTAGAAAAATTAGGCACTCCAAAAATCTATCAAAAAATGCATACATTGTCGAAACGAGTGATAATCGGATGGATTATATACGCTCTCACTATATATATTCTTAACTTGACATGGTGGATACATAAGAAAGAAGTTTCACCTTGGAGAATAGCTTTATCATATATATCCAATCATTGCGTTAATATGAACACATTAATTGATTTATTATTTATTACTTTGTTATGGTTCGTTACATTTATAATATTTACCGTTCAATCTACTATTCAATCTATCTTTCGCAATTATTCTTATAAATTATTCTTATAAATTCTTATAAATTAACAAAGTGTAGTGGTGATCAAAATTGTAATTTTTGCTTTAACAAAAACTTTTTAAAAACATTTTTGATAGCTAGCAACATACTTAATGATGACGTTTTTATTTCTTGATTATCTGTAACATTTTTAAACAAAAAATTAAATTTGTATGTATTAGAAACCTATTGTCAAGATAATAATTAGTCGATCTACTATTTTACAATTCTTGAGACATCTATTACAACGCAGGCATATCGGCATTAGATTTGACAAAGTGAATGAACATATACGACGTCTATTAGTAAAAAAAGATCATCAGTTGAGATGTACGTGGAAAAAACCTGTTGTAACTCTTCTTCAACAATATATGTGGAATTACAAACAAACATTATGGACGTTAATGTAAATCGGCACAGTATATATTTAGATACATCGAGTACATATTATGCTAATCATATAATTCAATATTTGAATATTACTTAAAACCGCATAAATAATTTGTCATAAATAAATTGTAAAATTTATAGATTATAGATTTTAATACCTATATTTTTTAATAAAATTTTTTCTAGGCAGGCATCTTTATTTAGAATTATGTCGCATTGCTCGCGAATTAAATTTGATATTTGGAATGCGAATGACTTTCGAAATGCTATCACATTTGTTACATATAACAATAATGTGTGATTTTTTCTACTTACAATGGACATATCAAATTAAATCATCAACGTTTAATTTAAATTACAGTATATTTAATATTACAGTATGGATTCTTGTATTTTTCATAAGATTTTGCATAATAAATTTAATCTGTGAAAATGTCAGTATTAAGGTAAATTTATACAATCTTGATAACAAAAATTTATACATATATTTATTATTATTATTTAATAAGTTATTTAGTAGGTTTGTAGCAATTTTTAAGAGAAAGCAGTTGAAAACAGTTTAGTTTTCATTAAAATTAAAAATACTTATAGTTAGGTTTATTTTTATTCAGTAGTGTGTGCACCGTTCTTTTCGATAATCTCTAGACAAGACATATAATAGCTTTTAC